TAGAACAATTAACCTTTTATAACTATTTCCAATCAGAATATTGATTTGTTGGGTGGAGATTCCCTGAGAGCATGAGTTGCCTTCTAACTATAGGAACAGCATCAGTTGCTTCAAGATCCTTGGGTGTAAAGATACCGACACCATAAGAAATAATAGCTTTAACCCATTCCAAAGAAGTATCAAGTAACTGACCACTGGAAACTAAAAAACTTCTGCCTTTTGATTGAATATGTATTCTCCAAATGCTTCTCTGTGAAGTAAATGTTTTTCTAATTAGGCTTAAAAATGTGAAATTTTCTTGCAAAATTGATTTTTCCATTAAGGCACTAAAGTAGTTTCTCTTCTGCTTGGGTACTAATTAAATTATGTCCCAACTTGTTTTAATTCAGCAATCAATTTTTTTTTTCCATTTGCACTGGATTACAGAATCTCATTTAAAAATCACAGTTTAATGAATTCCACACAAAGCAGAGGTGATAGACTTATTCTCTAAATGGAAACAAAACAGTACTGGTCAAGACTTGAGAGCTTGCAGCCTATCAGGGCAGAATACTGAAAAAAAAAAAAAAAGCCAAAACCCCAAAAGCAAACAAAAAGGCTCAGTCCTCTGGTGGTGTCTATGTCTTGTGCTGTTTTTAGATAAGAGACAGCAGTGCAAAAGGCATGGGGATGTGAGGGGGAAAAAAAAGGAACAAAGTGCTAAAATAAAAAGGATCTAAATTCTTTGAGGATGTACTTGATGCTGGGTCCAGAACTGAGACAATTTCTAAGGTAGTCATAAATTTATAAAAAGAGAAAAATTGAGTCATGACAATATTTAAAATAAGCAAAAAATTAAGGATGGATTATTCTAAAGAATAATAATTCAGGTTTAACAATTCTAGATAATAATTTAATGATTCTAAATAATAATAATTCAGATTTAACCTGTGAGTGTATGAATAATTATTTTTTGAATGATTTAAAATATCTCCAAAAGTCAACATAGCTTAAGAACATACATATTGAAAATATTTTGGAAATGAAGGAATATGCTGATTATATAGGATGATTTTGAGGTCTTATACTGAGAAAGAAAAAATTGATACAACAAATAGTTTTCTATGTAAAACTCAGGATTCACATTTCTGTCTAAAAAAAAAACCAAAACCCAAAAAAAAAACAACAAAAAAACCCAAAAGAGAATAATTGAGCTGTCCATGGTCAAATTCCACCTTCATCTATTAGAAGGTGGGGAAGTCACAAGAGGGAGTAGTCAATCATGTAACATCAAAACAAAAAAACAAAACAAAAAAAAAGCAAGTAAATGTAAGCCAGTAAGATGGCTTTCATTGTGTTAATTTAAGACACATTAACAAGCCAATTGGAAGCTTCACCTGCATGGAAAATCTAACAGCAGGAGCTATGCTTATTGAGGTTTCTTCTCTATCTCCTCCTTTTTAAAACGTGCTCAGTCAAGTCCAAATGTGATCCTTACACTGTCCATGCTCTATCCTATTCCTTTCTAAACAACTTGCACATTAACGGATCACTGAAATAACATATAATTCTTTAACTTAAACAATTGCTTCATCAACTCATGGCTTTTATAGTTCTCATCTTCCTGGCAACCAAATTTTACCCTGTTTAAATCCAAGACTATCTGAACAGCCTACTGTGGTTAATAGTGCTGTTTCCAGATTCCAAAATTGTTCCTTGAGTTCTTTTTTTCTCACTTTCTTTGTATCCTTTCAACTCATGATGACATTAAAAATAACAGTTAATGCTGTTAGATGAAAGGCATTGTGGAGAGAAAAATTTCAGAAAAACTAAAATTGTGAACAAAATTGCTCATGTAAAATGGAAAAACAATTTCTTTAAAATCATGAGAGCTAAGCCTTCAATTTATTCATTCAATTATAATTTTATATGGTTAATGGACAGTAGCATGAAAAGATGGAGTACATATCAGTGAGAATAAGTAATTCTTCAGATATGAAATGTATTTGGAATCCTATTTCTTTTGTAAGGAGAAAGTACTGTTCTGGGTCTGGTCATCCAGGAATACTTTGCAAGCTAGATATCTGTTGTGTGAGGTCTCCTGTATCATGACAAAGGGCAACAGCCCCTCAACTGAAAACCAAAAATCACTATTCTGGAGAAGATAGCAAAGAAGAATGTTTCTAGAGTTTAAAAATGTAATAGTAGAGTTACTATTTTTTATTGAAAACTTCAAGAGTCATTCAATAAGTGCAACAGTGCTGAGGAAAGAATAAAGAAACAGACACAGATAGAAGGAAAAGAATAGAACAATTAGGGAAATGAAAACACAAAAAGGAGAAAGAGAACACAAAAAACATGGCAGGTCACAGAAAGAGAATAGGAAATCTCTCTTTTATTGAACGATATACAGACTCAGTACTAGGTATTCCAGATTCCTCCTGATTTAATCTATACATAAGATCAAGGACAGATGATGGTAGTTTACTTAATTTTTTTTTTTAGATTTTGATGGACCTTTATTTTATTCATTTATTTATATGTAGTGCTGAGAATCGAACCCAGTGCCTCGCATATGCTAGGCAAGCGCTCTGCCACTGAACCACAGCCCTAGCTCCAATAGGATACTTTCTAGATTAAAAATCCTGAATTTTAGAGTGCTTAAGTGGCTTGTCCCAGAGATACTAAATAGATCAGTTAGGACCAAACCCCAGAAGTGTTTGATCTTAAGGACAGATCTTGCCCAGAAATCTGTGTAGATGAAAATAAGCAAGATAGAGATTGAAGTTAAGATGATGAGTCAACCCCAAATTTCATGAAAACATAGTGTCTATTATTTGTCCCTTAAAAATAAAACCACTTAGCACAGATTCAGGAAGATAGTAATGCATAATAAGAATTTTCACCAAGAACATGTATATATCCTAATCTGTATCTATATCTATCTGTATCATCTATATCTATACACATATATTTGGTATTAGGGATTGAACTCAGGAGTGCTTTACCACTGAGCTAGATCCTCAGTCCTCTTTAATTTTTTTAAAAATTTTTGAGACAGGGTCCCTCTAAGTTGCTGAGGGGCTGGCCTTGAACTTGAGATCCTTCTGCCTCAACCTTCCAAATAGCTGGGATTACAGGTGCGTGACTCTATGCTCAGCTAGAATAATTTGGATGACAAAGTCTTAGGGAAAGAAGACAAAGAGAGAAATAAGGGGGCAAATAAGATGGGGAGAACAAAAATAATATTGTTTGGGGGTGTCTACCTAACCTTTCAGATTCTAGAGTCAAACCTGTCAAATTCTGTCCCATACTTAAAGGATTTTTGAAAGAGGAGAATTGCTCGCTGATCTATATACCCTTAACTCAGGCAAAAATATTTTTCACCTTTTCAAAAACCCACTGGGTTTGATCTTGAAATCCCATATCACTGGTAATAAGAGTAACTATATACCCTTAAGAGTAACTGTATATCCTGGACATAGCCTTGTGAAGTCCACATGGTCATATGCTGATAATTAATCAATGAACCAACCACAACCACTTAACTAAAAACCAATCAGCTAATAAATATTTATTATGGTCCCACTTTATCTCCAACTCAAGGAATTCACAGTCAAACCTTTCAATAAAATATGAAAGTTCAATGAAACATATTACTATTTTGTTAAATATTTAGAAACATCATGTTCAAAGGATTGAATATTTCTTTTTATACAGATGTTAAGCTTAATGTCAATATTACCTAACTCATATGGAAGAACTACATAAGTAGTATTTTTCCTATGTTATTTTTGAGGGATGAAAAGTAGGGCCAAGTCTATTTCAATATTTAGGATGTCAATTTTGACTAACCTACTGGGAAATATGTATGTATGTATCTCTTTCTAAAAGAGAGCAAAGTTTTCTTTTGATTACTCAAGTTACTCAAGCAATTTTGCTTCCTTTTTTTATAACCAAATAATAATTTTAGAGCACAAACAAAATCCAATTTCAGCATAGCAATCAATAAGCCTATTCTGAGACCTTACCTCACGAAAGTGGCGTCAAGTTAGCAGCTTGAGATGGCTCAGAGAAAACCTCAGGCTGAGAAGTTTCCCAGGTAAAGGGCTTGATTGAGTTTTTTCTCTGAAGGTTTGGGCAACTCTGATTTCTCTGATAGCCCCAATGTGACTATATCTTACCAAATTTTAGGGAGATATGTATGTCCTAAATGATAGGCTTTTTGCATTATAGTCAATTGTCAGGACTCCGGGAAGTGGCTGGAAAGGAGTTGGTTTAGGGCTTTGGAGAAGCTGAGAGTTGTTTGCTGTTCTGGTGGTGGTTTGCTGAGACATCCACACAGAAAAAATGCTAGTGCCAGGCAGGAGGTGCATAATCAAATGGAATTGATTATTATGGCGCTTCAATGTACTAAGGATATTGAACTTCCCTTTTTAAATCACAGAAAAATACTGGTCTCAACTATTAAAGCTGGGGAAAAAACAATGTGAAGACTACTATAAAAATGTGAGTCATTTAAAAAATGGATTTAATATTGGCCTTTGTGAATTATATTTGATGTTTCACCCATCAGGCTCTGATATCTTTGGGAGAAACAATGAACTGTCTGTAATATACAGAAATAATCAAGGAAAAAGTGCCATTTTATTTCTTTATAGCTATATAACCTACAAAGAAAACCAGAAAAATCATTGTGGAAAAATACAAAGAATAACAAGATGATTTTTCTCTGTCCCTTTAAAGAAGTGTGTGTGTGTGTGTGTGTGTGTGTGTGTGTGTTTGTCCAGAGGAGTTGGTTTTAGATCCAGTGCATGAATTTCTCCCTTTTCTTTTGAACAACACACAGAAGACCTGTATACTTTTAACCAGGTTATACAACCCCTTGACCCTGTTTTGCCAGCTGTCAACATCTAGAAGCCCACATCACCTTTGGTCAAAAGCATCTTACAGTAGGTTATTGTATGAGCAGCAAATGAAGCTATAGCTTGTCACATCAGAAATGCTAATGATTTTCTTACCTCTTCCTTCTCAGCACTTTGCAGATCACGCCATTCTTCAGTTACGTGACCGAAATCCACTGTGTTCATGGGGACTTTGAATTCTCCAATGATGTCATGCTTGGAGAAACGATCAAAATCATACACAGCCATCACCAGAGTTTTGCCGCCTAGTTCCGAGTAAGGGACCTACACAGAAAGAAATGAGGATAAATATCTGCTCACAAAAAATACTTAAAATCTGCTACTACTTTATGGCATTAATTTAATAGTTATGTTGGACAAACAGACCAGGGAGATAATTTCTTTTTTTTTTTTTTTAAATTGAGTCTTTTAACTAACTGAAGTTGAATCTACCTGAGGAAAAAACTGGAACTTGCCATAGATTTTTCAACTTATTTTAAAGGTCTAAAGCTATTAGTATTATTAATAATGGGTCCAAAGATTAATAAAAGAATAAATAAGCCCCAGGCACAGTGGTGCATGCCCGGATTCCCAGTGACTCAGGAGGCTGAGGCAGGAGGATCATGAGTTCAAAGTCAGCCTCAGCAACTTAGTGAGACCCTATCTCAAAATAAAAAAGGGTTTGGGGATGTGGCTTAGTGGTAAAGTGCCCCTGGGTTCAATCCTCAGTACAAAAAAAAAAAAAAAGAATAAATAAGCCAATTACATTTGACTATTGTATTCGTTTCTCTTGCAGTATGTATGTATATGTGTATATGTGTGTGTGTGTGTGTGTGTGTGTGTGTGTGTGTGCATTTATTTATTTATTTATTTATTTATTTTTGGTGCTGAGGTTGGAACCCAGGGCTTGGTGCATGTGAGGGAAGCACACTACCAACTGACTATATCCCCAGTCCTCTCCTACATTATATTTTTTTGTCATTGTTGTAAGTTATATCAGCAGGATCTAACTTATTCGGAAGTCGAAAATGTGTTTCAAAAGTTCCATTAACTCTTTCAAGCCATTTGAATACTGCAGCTTAATGGAGCAGCGACATACTAAAAGGCATGCTAGAGCCAAAAAAAAAATTTAAATGAAATTCATAAGGTGCCTCACCTACTCTCTAAAATAATTTACTGATTGACATGCACTGACTAGAAAATTGATGTTTTGAATATCAGAGATTCAATATAATATGGATCTTGAAGTTCACTCATAGGTATGACACTCTTTAGGATGAATAGTGGCAAAAGGCCAAGAACTGATGAATTCTCCAGCTGTTCAAATATATCTGGGACAGATGCTCTGGGTTGGGAAGTTTATTAGTGACATTTTTAATATTCAGGGAAAAGCAGTGCAATTCAAGTGAGATACACTTCAGTAACTGGGTAGAAATGTCTAATTAAGAAATTGTTTAGACTTGTATTAAAGGTTTGATCAATTTTCATACACTTCATATTTTATCAGTGTAAATGGTTGTCGTATGCTCCAGCAAACATTTCTCAATTAACTCTGTACATTAAGAAGGGAAGGAGAGGAAAGAATACTTGACCATAAATGTACAAGTAATCTTGGTTTACCAGGAGTACTTTCTGTCATTTATTTATCATGTTTGGAATCTGATTATATTATTAAAACACTGTGATTAAAAATTAGGCATAATGCTTTTCAATTTTTGAAGGAATCTAAAATAAACTCAAAGAGCCATATTTTTAAGGAAAAAATAAATTTTAGAATAATTATAGATAAACCTTTGAAATTGTCATTGTATATCTAAAACCTTTCTATAATTTTGATGATGATACTAAAACAGCAATGATCAAAAACCTGGGTTTGGGGTCAGAGAGACCTGGGCTTCCCAACTTTCTGTCTGAAGGACTTGGGGCAAATGAATAGACTTCAGCTTCTTCATCTATCAAAATGAGAAAATAATAGTATCTATTTCTTGGGGCCATTTTAAGGATGAATGAATATATGTGTACCACCTAGCATACAGTAGACACTTAAATGGTTGTTACTGATTAATACTTCCTTCAGGTGGGAGTTTGTTTTGGAAGAAAAAAAAATAACATTAGTTTGGGGCAAGTTGAGTTCATGTTCAGTAGATTTTGACTCAATTCTAGAGCCAACTTTCTAACTTCTTATGTCTCCCTTCCTATATCATATTGCCCTTGTAATTTCAAGAAATGTAGTCTACAAATGTCTACTGGAAAACTTAGCTGGTTCTCTTTTACATTGGCATATATACTAAATGTATCAAAATATACTTTGAATCTCTTTATGGCTTGCTCAACCTTGCCAAAATGTAATAAAATAGAATTTATAAAAGTTTATAGACAATTAAAATGTTCATTATACTTTTTGGAGTCATAGATATTACTAATAAAATTGTATTATTCTGTTTTTTTTGGGGTACCAGAGATTGAACTAAGGGGCACTCAATCACTGAGCCACATCCCCAGACCATTTTCATATTTTATTAGAGACAGAGTCTCACTGAATTGCTTAGAGGCTTGCCGTTTCTGAGGCTGGCTTTGAACTCGAATCCTCCTGCCTCAGTCTCCCGAGTTGCTGGGATTACAGGTGTGTGCCACCATACCTGACTTGTATTATTCTTACTATGAACAATTACAAAATTATTTTAAAAGAAATAATATATAGGAAAGTCAAAGGAAAGCCTTACAATATTATTTCAAATAATTTAAGATTCTGCTTACTAAATTCTATTTAGAAAGAGCCAACCTAAATAAAATGAATATATAGACAAATAAAATGCTTTTGATGACTACTTGCAGTATTTCAAGAATTCATTTTATGTTTTGTGGTGTGTTGACCACCATGATTAGCTCTTCATAGGTTGATAATTTTCAGATTTTTTTTACTGCTACTTTAACTCTCTAGATACAGAAAAAATGATGGATTTTAAATAACATGGATCACAGTAAAACTTTTGTCTTAAACCTCAAAAATTTTAGGGTGAATGGAAAGACACTGCTCCTTCACAATATTGTAAACACATTTTGAGAAAATGGCTCATGCCCTCAACTCCATCAAGTTATGTCAGACCAGAATGTCTGCTAACAGAGGCACAGCAGCCACTACTAAGCCTGACTGATGGACGGGGTGATTTTGCGTCAGCTTGCTGGTATATTCACAAGCATTTCATTTTTCAGAGATGTATTGTTCTAAGTAATGCATTTTAAAAAAAATTCACACATCCACCAAAAGAATTGTTTTTGTGAATGACCTCAAGCAAAGAGCTACAAAGATCCCTGGAGCCTGCAGGGCTGGTTTTCTGGATGAATTATTTGATCAAAATCTCTCTTGGTTATTGTTTGTCAACTGAGGTATCTTAAGAAGATGAAGAATATCAGAAGAGCCTAGAGTAGAGGAAAAAATACGAGAAATGCCTAAAACAATGTGTTCATATTCTTTTCATTGATAAGAAGAATGGGTCTAGAGTTTTCAAGTTGCCCCTGTACATTAAGGGCTTTCAACAAGAGTCATATCTATTTGTACTATTTAAGCATGGAACATAGCTTCCTTTGTTCTGATTGCAACAGGGTTTACCTATTTTTAGGAACTTGGAATTCAGGGAAATAATGATTTCTTTCTTTTGCCTTTATTCTGGGTGTGTGTGTGTGTGTGTTTGAGCCTATTAGCACATTTGAAGTTGACCTCACTTTTCAGATGTGACCATGACATCATAGTCATGTTATCAGTCTATATTCCATTCTGAAAAGTGATGGGCAACTTCTACCTTGACCACACTTAAGCATAATATAGACCAAAGAGAAAAATTGAAAATATTCTGAATACAATCATTTTAAGTCCTTGAATATGTGATCATATGTATGTCTGTTTCAGGATAAAACCCGTATTAAAACAACAAAGGAAAAGTTATAAGTACATAAGAAAAAATACCTTGAAAGTAAATTGCTCATTGAAGACAGGATTAAGGGTTTTTCGGTGGACTTTTGTCTCAAATTTCTTCTTTTTATCAGGCAGCAGAAACACTTTCACGTAAGGGTCAGATGTGCCTCCCATGTCTAAGGCGGGCAGTTCGGCAGCCTGGATGATCCCTACCAGCAGCTGAAATGAATGACAGGAAGCAATAAGCACAAAAGTTGGTGACACTTTGGAAAAGATTGATTTGTTCACAGTGATGCATATTGTGATTTCTCCCCATTCCTCTTTGCTTTCAATAAACTTTTATTCTCATGTGAATCTGAACACGGAAGGCAAATGAAATGAGCTCTCTAGACTTCAGAACCCCAATTATGACAGATGCAGGCTCTAGGAAGCCAAGTTTTAAGCACAAAAGAGGCTTTTAAAAGGTTGCTGATTATAGTTAAATATGAAATTCATATTTGCAAAAGGGTTGCAATCAAATAACTTTTCAGTTGCTAAAAGCTCTTGTGCATTGTTTTTCTTTCCCAGGCATGATTTGTAAGTGGAAATAAATTGTTAAACAATCACAAATCTGTAATTACAAGTAGAACATTTTTATTCTTTACCAAAGTCTCAGACCAGCTAAGTAGAATTTTTTTAAATTTCTGTTTAGCAATAGAAATATTTTAGCAATCAGGTAATATTTTGAGATTAAAGAAATAAGATATTCAAGTTTCTGTCATCCTTGACCTTCACTATGTGCCAGCTAATTTTTACTTTAACTTATAGTAGAATGATTATTATCCAATAATTCTTGTATCTAAATATAAGACATTGAAATAAAGAATTATAATTTAAGCTTCATAGAAAGGGAGGGGAGATGACAGATATAGTTTTCATGTTAAATAACAATGTTACTGATTTTTTTCCCAAATACAACAGATATCTCTGCATTTGTTAAACACTGTTTTCTTACTCATATAAGACTAAATCCCTATGAATATTAGAAATTATGGCATTGTTACCATTTTAAAAAGAAAAAAGGTGTATGTGGACTATTCCAGCAGTTCTGCCACTGGAGAGTTATGTCAGCAGACTGATTTAAATCCACATGGGAAACAAAAGTAGATCTTTTGTGATTCAAGGGACATACTATTCAGTAAATGCAGTCATGCCATAGGCTTTCACTTAAGAGCCTGAACATTTGGTTCTGTGGATTTTTAATTAGTAGAATGAAAAAGCAAATTTACCTCCTTAAAAAATTACACCCATTTTCTGAAAAACTTACCTATCATAGTCTTAAGTGCATTTTGGCTAGCTGTCTCAATTTTTAACCTGGATCATACCCTGAATGAGTATGCTGTTTCCATTTTAAGTTTCAGTATGTGTTTTGTGGCATCATCTTACAACAGCAGCAATGACTGCTGGATTGTGGGTACACAAAACATAGAAAGATGGTCCAAGAATAGCTAAAGTGGCATTAGATTATAAAGACAAGATTGGTGAAGCAAACAATATGACTCTTGTTTTGCTAAATTGGTATTTGGTATTTGCCTTTATGTGGCAGTGTGAAAAAGCAAGAATTTATTTCTTCATTGCTGCTTTTTATAACCCATTTTCCTTTTTTTCAATTTTCAGTTAGAAATAGAATTGAAATTCCTTTAAAGTAGATCATTTTTAGTTTAGATTTTTAGATATTTGTTAATAAGAAATGGAGTTACTTCTTCTAACCTCCCTTTGACTTCTGCCTAACAAATAAATATTACATTTTTTTCCACCTTGACAGCTTCACAATTAGGATATTTTTAGATCATCTTTTAGTTTTGGTAACATAAGTTGACCTTTAGCTTTCCTGGAATATATAGATAATAGAAGATTTTGTTCCTAATCAAGTCCTTGTGCTCAAATTTTGGTAGAAGACATAGAAATGACCTTGACTGCCATGTTTAATTGACTGTAAATGGTATAACTATAAATCTTTATAAATCCATACCTATAATCAATATGCAGATTTCTAGAAAGTATTACAGAATAACTAGCCAGGGCTGTAATGGAGCTGATCAAATAAAAATATTTTTTCATATGACAGTATATTCCACACATCCCTCAGGGGGAACCCTCAAAGGTTGAAAGCATTATTTAAACTGTCCATTCCTAAATAAAACACGGAATTTCTACAACTACTCAGAATTTTGATTTTGAATGTTGGTCATCAAAGCTGAACATGGGTGTTTGATTTATTGATCATTTATTGCTCATCAAACTGGGTATCATTAGCACATGCTGGATTGTTAGCAATTGTATTTATAGATATTTGTTCTTCATCCCCTGAAATGATGGGTGAAGAAGCAAACTGTGCCAGAGAGATTTGAGCTCCCCTCACTAGAGAATGGCTATGTTATAAAGATTTTTAACAACCTGATTTTGAACTTAGCTTCTTCCACTAATTCTTATCTAGGTTGTTAATTTTCTTTTTTCTTTGCAGTGCCAGAGATCAACATCCCCAACTGCTTGTTAATTTCTTTAACAATTCAGAACATTTAGGATTATGTCTGTCAAGATCATGGGTCCTAGAAATCCTTCAGAGAGATATTTTTAACTGTTATCTTTGAGATACCATGATAATAGGCAGTGGATAAATGATATCATTCATCTAAATGACCCTTTCCTACTTTTTGAGAAATTGAAGTAGGAATGTCTGTTTTGTGATTTTTTTTTTCACTTTTGGGCCACATTCAAGGGCACTAAAATAAAGTTGTGGGTCTTTCTATTTTTCTAGAATTGCAATCTCATTAGCACTGGACATTATATAAGGCATTTGTACTTGTAAGATTCATGGACCAGTGTCAATTTTCCTTCTGTGATTCCTTATCAAGCAGTTTTACTATTTCAAATGGTAGCCCAACCCAAAGGCCCCTAGTTTGGATCTAGACCCACAACATCCAAGGAACGTTTTTCTAGCTCAGGCTGAGGGACCCATCAGGACAAGAGTGACTGGGAGCTCTCGGTAGCAGACTGACTGCTTCAAGTTAATTTGTATTCTGCCTGCTTGCTGGAAGTGTCATAAGTAGATGTAATCGGTTGAATACTGCGAATTCTAATTACCAGAAGTTAAATTAGCAAGTAGGGGACTGCCTGTACTTAGAAATTATTTCATCAATAGCTTTGATAATTGCATTTCCCTCACAGCAAATGAAATGTTTTAAGAAGTATCTTGCTTCAATTTCTACTTGGTAATTTCAGAAAATGTAATGGAATTAGAAGACATTTTTTCCCCTCAGACCTGGTTGTTCTGGAAATCATAATCCAGTGAGTATTGAAGTTTTCCCAGTTTCTCCTCTTCTTTGGGTTCTTCTTTTTCTTCCCCATCAGTCAAACCAGTTTCAGCATCATCGTCCTTAAGGGCCTAGGAGTCGGAAAAGGGGTCATATGTGAATTCGAAGGAATTTTCACCAAAATCCAAATTAAACTCGTCCTATAGTCATACTTCCAAGCTGTTAGAAAGCAAGCACTAAGATGCTAGAAACCTGTTTGTCTGACACACATTCACATTTGCTGCTTACATATTTTTTTAAATTCCACTAGTGCACAGAATTTTTTCCCCCCAATCAGCAAGCAACATGGAAGCAATGGAAGAAGCCCCTCAGAATATTGCAAGCAAAAAATGTAAAATTGTTGCAAAGAAAATGTCAACTTGGTACTGTATTTGGCTCTGATAGAACTGCTTCTTTCTTTCTACTATGATAAACATGCTATTAACCAGGCCAATTTTCACATTCTTGTGGTTTAAAAAAGATGCTCAGCATCATGTAAAACATTATTGTTACATGCAGTGGAATAATTGATATGAAATGCATGGTCTTTTCTTGCCTTACTTCCTATGGAAAAGATAAGTAGGTGACCTTTAGATAACTTTCATTCCCTTTGTTTCATATATACATTTGTAATTGTTAAGGAGAAAGAGGGAAAAAACATGCCATCAGCAAATGCATGTTTAGAGAAAAGTTTACTTCCAGTTGAAGTTTACTATTTTATTTTCATAACAGCTCCACAGAAAGCTAGGCTGAATTAAATTGATTTAAGAGTCTATTTGATATCAAAAGTTAAAAAATATGTTTGCAATTTTGTCAAAAACTCAAATGGTATAAAATTTATTTTGCATTAAGAAAGAATCATGGTAGTAAACCCCCCAAATTCAGTCAGGCCAATGAAATATCTTTAGTATCCAAAATTTAAGTGCAATATAAATTGAAATACTAGAAAGCCCATGATCACATAAAATGTGTCCAAATGCTCCTTTCTTTTTAAAAATCAAAATGTAGAATGTATTTTCCTAAAATTTGCCCAAATTTTGCCCAAATTTTTATTTGGTTATCAATATTCAAAGGTTTCGGGGGATATATACTCATTGCTATAAAGAAATTAGAACAATTAGAAATCTATGGTTATTTAAAATTAAAAATTATGAAGTTATATTTCCCTGATCACTAGTGTGGTTAAAAAAATTAAAAATTCTTTTATCAGCAATTTGCATTTTATGGGACTGCCTACACATAATTTTTGGTAATTTTTTTCCATTGGGCTGTTTGCTTTTTTTTTATTGCTTTGTAGAAGTTCTTTTTAGTTTACTGGTGTTGATACTGTTGTTGCTATATGTAGCAAATATTGTCCCTAGTTTTTGGTTATGGCATCTTCATTGCTTGTGTGCATGCACACATGGGTATGTATTAGATGTATATGTATTACTGTAGGATCTCAAAAGAAATCAGAGTGAGAGATGAGTGATAGATTGCTTTTTATCTCTGACAACGCAAAGGAATCTTAACTATTGTCAGCTCTTAAATTGAATCTATGAATTCTTACAGAACTCAAATGCAAAAAGTATAACCAGGCTTCACATAGCCATCAGAGTTGTCAGACTATGGCTTCACCACCTTGCTACACCCATCTGCAAGACTACAGGGTCTTTTTCTCTGCTATGCTCATCATTATCAGAAGATAGATTTTTTTTTTTTCTGCTCTCACCCACTTGCACAGAGACTCTCCGTGGAAGCAGTCACTAAATTTACCAGATTTCCCCATTTGCTTCCTTCCACCTAACTAAAAAGCAAAGAGTTGGATGCTTCCTAGATTAATAAAATTCATTAGTTCCTCTCTTAGGTGAGAAGATCATATAAGCAGACAATTGAGCTATTGTCAGAGATGCCTCCTTATTGTGCTTGTTGAAATTTCTCGGTGGCCTACAATGAGTGTGGAAATTGAAAATTACCATTAATATATATTCACACTTGTTTAGAAATCTTTTCAAATAGGGTTAGCCATACCCCATTTAATTTAGTAAGTTTAATTTATACTTGGATAGTTCCTTGCATATTAAGATACTGTTTTACTGATAGCCAAAAGCAGAAAACAATTTAAAATTTAAGAATTTTATACTAATCTTCTAACCTTGAGAGGTGGTGATGGGAGGCCAGTAAAAGAATCTAGAGAAGTGACAAGAAAAAACTACTGAATTAATTAGAGAACTTTAGGAAGTGGATTCCCGTAGCCCTTTGTAAACTTGCTGTTTATGTCTTCAACAGTGTCAAAGAAAATGTGCTTAGAAAATTGAAGTTAATATAATGTGCCTCCCTGGTAGATTTTAATTTTTTTAAAATAATAGCAAAATAATAAATGCATACCTCTGTTGAAAAATCTGTTACTCTATCATCACAACAAAAAGTTCAGAATTAAAATACTTTTTCAAAAGTCTCTTCAAAATTGACAATTTATATATCATCTTTCAGCCCAGTACAATTTGAAAATAGTTGAGATATTAAATCTCCTTCTCCCTAGTGGTTTTTACTGAAATAGAAGGTGCAGAACCATCTCTGCAATTATTCTCCATGAAATAGGACTAGATTTTTGATAATTTCTCAGTGCTACTGTTCATCACTGAAGTGATTAAGTCCATTCCTGTCCCAAAGGCTGAGCTTAAGGAAGATATTTTCTGTACTGTTGCATTAAATTCTGACCTATTAAATCAGCAGCTATTATAATATCTCCAGAGCAATATTCCCCACCCCCATGGGACAAAATTTGGAAGAAAAAGCTTGTAAACCCAGCAATTCTGAGGTCTGATAAATTGCAATAGCAAAAGCTGTGCTGGGAACATTAGGACTTTTAAATTTCAAAGGTTTACTGCACCTGCTTATGGTTTGCATTGACATTTACAAGGTGCTTAGTTCACAACCATCAGAAGGAGCATTTGTTCATTCTACGTTAACATTGTTCTGATTGGGATTTGATAAGGTTCGCTAAGAAGGTAGTACAAGCGACTGAATTTTCATTCTAAGCCAACAATTTAAAAGTTGAGCTTTCTAATACTGTTGTATTTAATCTATGTCAGAGATGTTTAAAATGAAAACACTTTATCTCTAAAAAATCAGTTTAGTTCAGCCTCTTGATGTGTGTCAGAATGGTATGCCCTCAGCTGTGGAGCCTCAGCTGCCAGGCCACAAATGTACCTCAGCATTGACTAGGGTTGTCTAAGTAGCAGAGGAAACCTACCGCAAGGGACAGTCCAGAACAGTCATGAGACACAACACAGATAAGGAGGACATAGAAGGAAGAAATAAAAATTAAAATATCCACACACATTAGTGAGCACTATGGAGAAATGACCTTCCCAGACCTATCACTACACAAGGGTCCTTCCCTCTGCGTTTAGTGTTCTCAAGATTCAAGACACATGCATGTGTCTTACTCCATGTACATGATTTATCTTCAGTTAATTTTGTAGTCATTGCTGAATGTTTTAAAATTTTTCAAGGTTATAAAACTGTACTCTAGAGACATATAGCTATGAATACTGCAATTTGAATTTCTGTCAGTTTGATATGGATTGAAATGGGAAATACTTATTGCCTTAAAGCCTAACTAGCATAAGAAATAACTAGAAGCCACTCCGATCTGTACTGCTTTGAAGTTAAGAAGGTAATAACTATCTTCATTTGTCTCCCCCATGGTCACTCAATATCCTGCTTAAAATATTTTGAAAATGTAATTTTTTAAAAAAATAATTTAAATTTGTGTTAATGCTGTTTTGAATTCAGATCATCCAATGATCACCATGTTACATATGATCCTCCTAAAATCTGTACATTCTATTTTTCTTCTTTAGCCTTCTTCTTTATAGAATGTTAGACTCCATTATTAACTATTTTGGTCAGACTCAAATAGTAGCATAAGCTACTGTTATATAATTGCTTATCATTGAGACCTATTCTCACTTATCCAAATTATGTTTCATTTGTGTACTTAATTGTTCTCAACTTAGAAATAATACCTGCAGTCCTAAGTGGACTTAAAATGAATAAAAATACCTTTTTGAGTGTTCAAAATTCTAACTACTTTGCAACAACATGTTATTAAAAACTATCATTTCTTCATTTGACTAATTTTTCTCTGTTCCTCCTTCTACAGCAATAGGTGATTGATGAAAGATTTAGCATTATTAAATCCTTATTTGAGGTCTTGGTCATTTATCCAGGTCATAACAGGGGTAATAAACACCACCACTATGCCATAAATTATAATCTTATGTCATACAGAACAAATTCCAAAAATAAAAATAGAGATGTATTACCCTACAAAGAAATGTCATAGTTACAATTTAATATTATATAATGCTTTTTTTTCCCTTTTAAATCCCAGGACACAAGGAAATCACATTTAAATTTTATGGTAATTATGAAAATTATAGTGTTGCATATGCAAATTATTGTTTTCCCAGATATTGCTAAAATAACGTATGCACATTTTTTTCAGTCCCATTTCCATCTGGGAGATTATTTCTATCCTTAATGTCCTAATAAAATGTTTAAAGAAATCTGTATCTAATTCTGCTTGTTGAAGTAAAGCAAGACATGATTCAAAACTTCAGTTTCTATTTAACAAATTAACCAATGAGAAAAATCCTTATTAGACATCTGTATTTGAACACATGTGTTTGAGCTTCTGTAACTATGATTAGAAACTGTGAGAAAAAATTGACCTCTTGTTATTTCGAGCTTGGGCCAAAGCTCTCTGCAGCCTTCCCATGGCTCCGAAGGCAAGCAGAAATGCACAGAGTGAAAAGCATGCCTCATGAAATCCTTGTTAATAGATATCACAGTATCTTGAAGAAAAATTGTGTAAACTCAAACTGAGTATGAGGCTAAGTAGAAAAGGATGCAAATGGTTTTAAAATGCTCGTCCTAACATTGGATCAGACTGTTTTTAAGGAGTAACACATATTTACAAGTTCTATTGATAATAATGAAAACCATAAGATGAATTGATAAAACTGCCCATAGAGTTTGCTATGGGAATCGATTGCTTTGAATTATCTGATGGGAAACACTGGTAACTGCAAATGTCATTTCTATTACAAAATCTCTTCATTTACATTTTTATACAAATTAAATGTACTTTAGAAATATTCAGTATGAGTATTTTCAAAATGAAGAGGCTCATTTAATAATTATCATTATTAATAGAAGACTTTATCTTGAACTAACTTGTTCAGTTAATTTGGTTTAAAATAGCAACATAAAGGGAATCCAAACAGCTTCCTTAGACTTGGGAAGACAATCCAGCCAGATGGATTTTATATCAATCAGCATTGTGGTATTAACTGGTCATAAGTGAGGAGACAAGAATTTTGTCTTCAAATTCTGTTCTGTTCTTTGGTACTGGCTCATATTTCCCTTCCTCCAATAACTCATTGCTCTTGAGCACCAGTTACTGGGCTAGATGGGTATGTAAGAATGGTACTTTTCACCAATGCTGAACAGCTATGGAACCTAGTTATTTAACAGTCACTATGAACTCAGAGAAAGCTGGAAAAATCCCTTTCCCAAGAGGGAAAACATTGCAGTACGCTTTATTCTGTTTTTGCAAGACTGTTAATATTGCTAAACAGATGAAATAAAATATCCAGACATCATTTCATATGCTGCACCCATGGGGAGGTGTCCTGTGGTGGTGGATGCTCTCCTCTCCTGTCTATGCTCAGGGACAAGAGAAAAATCTCCCAAATGTTTCCTTGACATGTTGAGATGTTGAGCAGACCGAAGGAATTGTGAAGCCTCATTATGACAATGACATGCAGCCATAAGTTGTTTCTAAAATCACCTGGTACAAAATAGTAAACCATTTATTAATCTCTGACAGTGTCCACGAATAAATAACAGATATGTACATTACCTGGTCTTTCATGGTCTTCCCTAAGTCTTTCACATCTTTCATGTTAATGGCATTCTTTCCTCCCTTTTCCTTTCCCTTCTTCTTGTTTTTCTTTTTGAACAAACATTTCTTACAGATACAAAAGCAGCAGGTCAGGACTAAAAGGACCGCAACTATGGCTATAGCAATTAAGGCCCACGGTGGCACTGAAAGAAAAAGAACAACAGGCACATAAAGCATTAGTCATAGCACTAGAAGTACAAAACCTTCTAACCCATGAACTATAAGGATGTCCGTTCCTTCATTTGTATTTATTGAGCACTTACTGCGCTCCAGGTGCTTCTCTGTGGCATTTTATCCACATTATTTCCTGTACCTGAAGTGCTTCTATCTTTTCTGCTTTGCTTGTCTATATATTTTCTACTGTCATTTCCTTTGGATTGTTTACCTGATGCTCCAAGATAGATTTTCAATAATTAAACCCTTCATTTACTCAGAGCATAGCTCTGTGGCTTGATCATTGAATTTAGATCCTGCCCTTAGTATTTACCAGTTGAGTTATCTTAGGTAAGGCATCCAACTCTCTCCACCTCAGTTTCCTCTTCTGTTTAGTGGAGGTAAATTAGCAGAAACCCTAGAGAGTCCTTAGGAGGGCGAAATATTAAGGCATAGTACCTGGCTTGGCAAAAGCTTGATAAATGTTAGCTGCTATTACTCATCTATGAAATACAAGGTAGTATATTAATATGTTCTGGCAAATAGGAGGAACAGATGTTAATCATATAAACAAACAATCATAATGGTAGTGAAGCTGAGGTATAAGTTCTTAGTGCTCTGAAGTCCATCATGGGCAATGTACAGCAGGGGTCTCCGGAGGTAGGGGAGTAGAAATGTGTTTGAGAGCTCTTAAGCCAGGCTCAGCCGTGGCCACTTAGCCACTATGTGATTCTGGTAGATTGTTTAACTGTTCTGAGTTTCTATTTCCTCCATTATAAAGTGAAGATTATAGTGGTGCCTTTTTTTATCTGGTTTATCACCTTTATAAAGGAGCTAATAATCCCCCCAAAATTTAGAATGGTAAACAGAACATAGCAAGAGCACAATTAATGTTAGATATTATTTTTGTAGGTATTTGTAAATTTATTTACTTATTTTTATATATGACCGTGGAATGTATCACAATTCATATTCCACAAATAGAGCACAATTTTTCATATCTCTGGTTGTATAAAATATATATTCACACCAATTCGTGTCTTCATACATATACTTTAGATAATGATGTCCATCACATTCCACCAACATTTCTAACCCCCTGCCTGCTCTCTTCCCCTCTCACCCATCTGCCCTATCTAGAGTTTGTCGAATCCTCCCATGCTCTCCCTCTCTACCCCACTATGAGTCAGCCTCCTTATATCAGAGAAAACATTGGGCATTTGTTTTTGGGGATTGGATAACTTCACTTAGCCTTATCTTCTCCAACTCCATCCATTTATCTGCAAATGCCATGATTTTATTCTCTTTTATTGCTAAGTAATATTCCATTGTGTCCTTCACAATAGATAAAAAAATGTGGCATATATACACAATGGAATATTACTTAGCTATTATTTCTTTATCTTCAAGGCACAGGACTCAGTACTGTGGGGAGTGCCAAGTGAATATGATGAGGGCATATAAAATATGCACACTAGTAAATATATATATATATATATATATATATATATATATAATACACTGAGAGGCATTCAGTGACTTGAAAGAGATGTTAATCAGACAATAGGAGAGAGATCAGATTTATAGTCTCTGTTTAAAATAGTAAAGTATATATAATAAATATGTTCAAATAAACCTTTAGTTCCCTATTCAGTTGTCCATCTGCTAAAAAATTAATATATTTTCTTATTTGGCATCTCTACACAATGTGCTTATGAAAAATAAAGTTTCTTTGAAATCTTTAGGGTTTTGCTTTGACTAGAAAGGAATTATTCATGATTCAAATCAGTGCTATTGAGATTAATCAGAAGAAGTAATTAGATTTGTCTGCTGTAATAAAAAAAGATATTGGGCACTGAAATGATAAGAAAAAGTGTAATTTTCTTCAAGCCACATAAACATCATTAGTGCCAATGATTGTTGAATACAAGTTGGGAGTACTTTGATAAAGTAAAAGCACTTAAAATTAACCTCTCTTCAAAATTGAGAAAACCCACTCTTGCTTGTTCTTCTGCATTTAGCTTTACAGTGTTGAATATTCACTCTGCATACTATCCTGCTGATGATTGGATATATGATATTAACCTAAGGACATATGAAATTACAACTTCTAACAATGTGCTTTCAGCCACAGAAACACTTATGTGAATAGACTTACAGATAAGTCCATACCCAAAGACATGCTTCTTTATAGTTCTCCAATCTCATTAAACAATGCACGTTTTTTAAAAAAATGCAAATTAAAGTAAGCTCGTGTAACTCAATGATATTATTCATAATACTTCATTTAAAAGCTTCTACCTCTGCTCCTGTAGTTAAAATCCTGCCATGCATGAACGAGAGAGTCCATGTATTCATCGTGGGCAAGACAGCGTTAATAATGACCCTTCATTTGAACCTTGCAAATTTTTCTCCCAGTTGGACTTTTGTGATAGTCTCTCAGAAAACTACACAAAAGTCTCTTAAATTACACAAGACAAGACAGAGAGATCTGACGGGTTCACAAAAAGAAAATAGGCAGTCAACGCAAAGGAACATTGTTTAATCAAAAGAAGTTAAAGAGATAGGAACATGGAATTAGAGGAAGAAATTTGAAATGGTGCAACCTGAGACAATTTAAAACCATTGGAAAACTTTTATTTTGTTACTTTTATTTTTTTTTAAAGTGCTCTTGCTTTCCAGATATTTGTTCAGGGGATCTTCTGAATAGCTTAATTTTAATTTAGAATATGCTATGTTGAATAATTAACATAATTTTCCCCACAATTTACTGACATCTCTAGATAGAATAAAATAACCCCTTGCCAGGTGTGGTGGTGGCGCACACCTGTGATCCCAGCTACTTGGGAGGCTGAGGCAGGAGGATCTCAAGGTCAGCTGGGCTACTTTGTGAGATCATCTCAAAAACAAAAAACCCCTTAATGTGACTATTTTGTATTCTCATAGGAAAACCTGAATCATCAACAATAATGTAAAGACACAGCTATTTTAAGTAGTTGGAATGATGTGCATTGAATGTTCACGTTAAAAAAATTCACTTTATAGAATAAAAAATATTTAAAATTTGGTAAATGTATTATGAAACAACATTTACAGTGTTATTCATTTGCAGTACATGCAGAAATGTATTAGTGAGCAAATCTCTCAAAATGTATTTTGGATTAGGCTAAAAATTTATTGAAGCCTATTTATTACATACCAACCACTGTGCTACATTATTTCATTTAATCTTTACAGCAGTTTTGTTCATTGTCACCTCAGTTTTACAGAGGAAAACCTCTATAGATTGAATAGTTCCAGAAATTCAAATATGTCTTTAGGTTGTCAGGTTAAAATTTTGTATTATAAATGTACATGAGGGAATAAGTCCTTATCTAGTTTTGAAGTTCTGAACAGAATATTTTATATTAAATCCAGCGAAGCAAATAAATAACTGTATATGATGGTGGCAAGAGTGATTTGATATAAAATATAGTTTCATCAAAATACTGCTAGTGGCAGAAAGGTTTCATCTGATTGTTATTGCTACCCAACCATCATTAAATGGAATTTTATAATAGGAATTTTAACATTTAACTTTAAGGCTTTACAGTGGAAAATAACAGACTAGTATAAAAACTTTTTATTAAAAATGGTTTTATTTTTGCATTAATAAATCAATCTCACATATATTATTGAACCGAAAGCTAAGTTGATGCCTAAGAATTAAGTCCAAGGAAAGTTAATCCAAAATTGCTTCTGGGTTTTAATTTAGACCGGGGGATAGGCAGAATGATTGCCACTTTGCATTTCCTAAAAATGCCTGACTCAGTGCTCAGTGAGTATTAGCTTGAGGGAAAGCCAGGTAGCCAAGTTCTTGAGCTTGCAGATAGTTCTTAGCAAGACCATCTCCAGGGGCATTTCCTTAGGTCTGTTAGTCCTAGTACTTAGCTCTGATTCCCTCTTCCTCTTCCCCATTCAGTCAGCTGCTGCTGTCTCCTAGGCTAGCAAACATTTGGTGGGCTACTGCTTGGGGACTTGGTTTGATCCAGGCAATAACTCACCAGTGTTTTGGTCTCGATTTGGCTTTTAAGGGCTCTACATTGTATTTTAGATGCATCCTCATTCATCATATTCAAAAACAACCTTAAACTCACATCTCATTCACAGCTGCTATATTTTCCTCTCTGAGAAACATAAGCTTATACTTTTGCATTCACCTTAGATATTTCAGCCCAGGACTTTAAGACAACATAGGTAATACCGTTGCTATGGTCACTACAAAAACCAGTGACTTCAAGCACTTTCTACCTTGACATATCTCTATTTTGTCAAACCAATGCCTCATCACGGCATAAACATCTGTGGAATGAATTTTATGAATAATCTCCATATGTTTTCATTCTTGTATTTGCCAAAGCGTTTTGCCAACTTCTAGTTTTCACCCCCCAAATTCATCATCTTTTTATAAAACAGTGGTTCTGCAAGATTCAGAATACAATATGAAAATAATTATTATGCTATTAAGTAGTAGGAAAACTAATCTCTGTTTCAAAGCCTTACTTTTGAGGCTGTTTATGAATAATTTTCTAAAACACACAAGGATAATAATTTCCTAAATATTGGCAGAATACAATAAGCTTTGTGTTTTGAAGCATTTTCTAAATTATAGAATGCAAATAAAAAAAGAAGCTCTGGAAATATGTGGATTAATATACTCATTAGTCACCTCTGGAGACAGAACATTAAATGCAAATTTGTAAAAATATACAAAGTCATGTAGAATATAGCTTAAGGTTAAACCAACCAGTCAGAAGTCAGAGAGAAGAATTTCTCATTATAGGCTAAAATGGCTTCAAACACTACCAATTTTTGGCTCTTGAGTATTTGACAAACTAATCTTTCCTCACTCTTCAGATTGGGAGTTCTAAATCTCTGGAATCATATGCCCTTTGAAAAATATGATAAAAACGGTGAAATCCTCATGGGAAAATACATGAGCTTGTGTGTC